CCGCCGCCGCCGCCACCAGCAACAACAACAACAACAACAACAACGCTTCCTCTTCCGCTCCGGCCACCGCGTCGTCCACTCCGCCGCCGGAGGCGAACTCCAACTCCCACTCCAGCAGCGAAAGCTCCACCCTAACCGTTGCCGCCACGGAGGCGATGTCGGCGCCGACATCAAACGTTGCGTCCAACAGCGGTTTCCTTCTGGACAACGTTCGCGACTCGAAGATGTTCGGTAACGCTAACAACCTCTCTTTGGAAAGTGGTTCCATTTTCTCGGAGATTGGAAGCTTCACTAGCCTCATGGCTTCAAATAACGAAGCATTGGGGTTTGGGTTTGGGAATAGTAATAATAATAACAACAACAACGACACCAGCAACAGCAACATCCTCGACGCGACGTCTTTACGGTTCGGGGTTTCTCAGCCGGATGGGAGTGATCAGGTGCATGTGGCACCAGGTGGAGAGCATGGTCAGTGGCAAGCGCAGAGTCATCAGGAGTTTGGTACGGCGTCGTTTCTCGATCACGCGGTGCCGCAGCTTGAGTTTTCGTCGATGCAGCATAAGAGTGGATTTGGATCGTTGGATTGGCAACCCGGTGCGGATCAAGGTTTGTTTGACCTTCCTAACACCGTTGATCAACCTTACTGGGCCCACCACACTCATTGGTCTGATCAAGATAACCCTTCTCTCTTCCATCTTCCCTGAAAATCAAAGTACTCAACAAATTTCCCTCTTTTTTTTTTCTTTTTTTTTTATAACTTGAGGAAAAAAGAGCAAAGAATAGTTGGTGAAAACAAATTGGAAGAGAACCTGGAACTCATAATTAGTAATTACTAATTACTATATGTAAATTTTTACTTTTTTTTTTTTTTTTGAGAGGTGGTGGGCTTGAGCTTGATCATAAGTAGTGAATAGTGATGTTCATGTGTGCAACTAACATCCATGTTAGTTTTTTTTTTATGATTTTTTTTTAATGTATGTAGTTGAAATTTGATTTATTAGGGGGGAAAAACGTAGGAGCGGTGTTATAATTTAATATATTGGGGATTGGTGGTATGCGATTGTTATTTGGAATTTGAGGGATTGTAATGTTATTCTGGCGTGTATATGATATAGTATATGTTCTTGATCTGCACTATTAATGGATATGAAAATGAGGGAAAGGACAAAAGACATAAGACATGGTGTAGAATGTGCCACGTGGATTTGGGTGTTGATAATGACGATAATCATGCCCTGATTTAAGCGTGATGGTGGTGTTGGTTGGTCACCGTGAATGACGAAGATATAAAAAATAAAAGGGTAAAATAATTTATTTTACATTTAAAATAGATATAAATTTATAGGAAATAGAAAAAGGAATAGGGATATTTGATGGGGAAGTGGAGAGTGGGTGGGGGCTGCATGGTAGGGAGAAGTCACATCAGCGATGATGACTCCACGTGGCGAGTGAGAAGACGTGAATGTGGTGGACAAGAAAAAAGGTAGTGGCTGTTACTTGCTATTCATCATGCAGGTGCCTGGGCCCTTCATGCTTCATGTGCCCCGCTGAACAAAGCCTTACCCAAACTTAAAACTATTTTTCTTTCTTTATAAACCTACTCCACTCATAACTTACTAATCTATATTTAAAAGACTAATCTATATTTATAGTTTTTTTTGTAATTAAATATTATTCTAATATAGATAAAAATTAAATTGGAATGTATCGGGTTAATCTGTATTACAAACCAAGACTTGGTTGAAGTTAAACTAAATTGCTTCTACCATTGTAGATTTCAATTTTCCTTTTAAAGACTTGGTTAAAGTTAAGCATTTTTATAGGAGGTAGTAAATGGAGTTGTTCTTTCTTTAAAGTGTTTTAGAAAAAGAATTCTTGTACAAATTAGTTGTAAATTGGATACTTCCTTAACAGAGACTGTTCTTCAATTGTTATTAGTTCTAGATGCATTAAGAACTTTCTAATTGCTTGTAAGGTTGGATTTGATTTTTTTTAATTTCCTTTCTTTATATTTGTAGAAGAAAAAAAAAAGTGTTTTATATTGAATAAAGTAATAGTATTTTAACTTGTGGGATGTATTATAATTTGAAGTTGAAATAAATAAATATTAACATATTAGTTATATTTTAATTTTGTAATAAATAAGTTATATTATAATATATGATTATTTTTAAATATTGGTAATTTTAAAATATTAAAATTTAATTTGAAATTAAAATAATAAAAAAAGATAAATTAAAATAATATCTTTAAAATTTTTTCGTTAAAAAATAATTTTTAAAAAACTCATAAATTAAATATTGGGATTGTGTAGGAGAATGTTGTTCACTATTCTTTATTTTTTTTTATCTCTCACACACACACACACATATATATATATATATATATATATATATATATATTTTATATTTGTTCTTATCAAATTCTATCATGTTTGGATATGAAGAGAGAAATAAGTGAGAAATACACTAAAGAGAAATAAAAAAGAGAAAAATAAGAGAGTAGAAATAGGTAAGAAATAGAATGAAAATATGAGTGTTTGGTTTGAATGGATGGAGAAGAAATAAATTATAATTAGTAATAAAATTAAAATATTACTTTCCTGACAAATTCTTTCACATTATTTTATCCAAATAAACATATGTTTATTCAAATAACAAATATAATATATGTTTTATTTGAATAAAACATATTTATTTGAATAAGTATGTGTTGAATAAAGATATTTTTTTTTATATTTAATAAAAATTATAATTTTATCTTTCTATTATTTATCGTAAAATCATTGTTTATTTGATTTAACAATATTTATTTGAATAAAACTAATTTTAAAATTTTGTTTTTATTGGAATAAACAACACAGTTGAGGAATGAAAATAGTTAAAAGTAGGTGTGAAGAAATGAAAAGAAGAGAGAGATAAATAAATAAGTTAATAAATAAATAGATTAAAAAGGAAATAATATAAAATAATTTTTAAAAAAATGAATTTTTATTAATTATTTTTATTTTAGTCAATTAAATAAAAAATTATATAATTAAATAAATAATATTTTTGAAATAAAATAAATAATTAATTAAAAATAAATAATTATATAATTATGAAAAAATTTCATTCGAATACGAAAACTTATTTGAATAAAAGGTTTTATTATTCAAATAAAAAGTTTTGGCATTTGAATGAAAGTTATTTCAGAGATAAAATTGTAAAAGTGAATGTATAACGTATGAATATGAGAAATTCTGTGTTTTTTCTTCTTTATTTCACGGAGAATTTTATAGGCATGGGATCCATGTCTGTAAATTTCTATTCTAACAAATTTCTTTTGAACCAAAACGACCTAATCTATTTTCCTAGACTTGTTTCTTGTCTCTCCCTTCTATTTCTTCGGTAACTTTCTTCTATCAAACACAGTGTGCAACTAATCTATTAATTAGTTGAACATTTATTTGAGAAAATTTTCTTCTTATCTTTTTAAATTTTTATAATCACTTTAAAAATTATGAATTTTTTAAGTCTTATACATGATTATTTTTATCAGTTATTTATATTTAAATAAAATAATATGATAAATTAAGCAAAATAATTAATAATTACGAAAGAAATAAGAAATATTTTAAATTAAGAATTAAGCTAATTAAAATAAATGCTCAATTAATTTAATTACCATTTTTTATTTTACATGGACATGCACAGATTTGCATCTAAAGTAACCAATTTAAGTATCAATTTTTGGACTCAAATACTTTAAAAGTATAAGTATATCAATGCTGTAAAAAAATTATAAGTATGTCAATGAAGATAATATATAATGAGGAAAAATTAGAAGTAATGAAAATTATATTAAATATTTGATAATTTAATAAAAATAACTTTAAAAACGGTAATAGAAAAAATCTTTAAAAATGGCAATAAAGAAAAAAAAATTATATAAACGATAAATACACTTATCAACTTTATATATGTATATGGAATTAGCTTCATATCAACCTAGAGACAGACTTAACTGAAGAAATAAGTAAATTGCTCTAAAACTATATTGAGATGAAGACTTTTTCTTCAATTTTGTTCGTTTTGCTTGTTCTTTTCATTGTTATTGGTATGTTTTCTTTCTCATTTATTTAAGATAATCATTCATTTAAATTATTAATTTTTAAAATTCTTTTTTATTTTTAAATTATTTTTTAAGTTTGGGATTTATCGTTTAATATCTAATTATTTACCTGTGCATGACATAGAAAATGGAAGGCCATTGAAAGTGACAGAAGCAAGAATTTGTGAGAAAAAACTACGATTATTGTGATGAAGACTGTGTCAATGATTGTCTCAAGAAATATGGAAAGACATCACTTGGTATCTGTAATTTGCCTAATAATGAGTGTATATGTCATTATCTATGCTAAATTTTAACCTTCTTCTCTATTTTATTTATGGCAGTTTATGTGTTTTTGTTTTTGTAGTTCATTTTTTTTTATAAGGAGTTACAATTTTATTCCAACGGCATATTTAAAATAAATAAATTATGATTTTATTATTATATTTAGAGTATGGTTATTTTTTTATTTCATGGATAATTTCTAGATCACAGATTTAGATCAATTTAAAAACTGATGAATCCAAATTAATCTAAACCAAAAAATTTGAATCAATTCTTATTATTGGTTCGAATTATATTGAAAAAAATAAAAATCCAACTTAATTCAACTGACAAATTATTATATATTATTGATTTTTAAAAAAATTTACAACTTATTAGAAAAAAAAAAGTTTAAAGTTTGGACTAAAAGTCCATCTAAACTTTCAATTCATTCTTAATATTACACTTCAATTACTACTCTACAATCCACACATACTTCTCATTTTTATAGTTGTATATTTTTGTTCTCCTCACTTTGTTTGGATTAAAGTTTAAGTGAGTCTATTACACCTAGTCAAGTTACATGAAAGTAAATATAGCATTAATTTAAATTTTTAATTTTTAATTTTTTAAAAATGATAAATCTAATGATGTGACATAAACTAACTTGATCATAGTTGGATTGATTCGGATTATAAAAAGAAAAAAGAGAAATCTAATACGAAATGATTCAATTAAATTTAATCAGATTGAATAAAAAAAAAACACAAATCAAATCCTAACCAATGTGTCCACTCCTAACAATTTCAAATTAATATATTAAAAAATTAGAGATAAATTACTTACAAATGAATTTGTCAAATAAAAAATTGATATCTTAAGAAAAAGAGAATATTATACTCTAATAGTGTTAATATTTAGTTTTACACAATTATTGCATGTGTGCATGCATGTGAGTGTGATGCCTTTTAGTGATAAATTTATACAAATAGTGATAAATTCATAAAAACTCATGAAGTGTGTGTATAGAAGATGTTGTGTTGGCAGATTAGATAGAATGGACCATGATAGATTGGTAGATTGGAACCCCTAGCTTGACTTGCTAGACTTAACTTGTTTTATCATTCTTACTTGATAAGTTATAAAAAGTTTGTAAAAAGAATACTAATAACTATATATGACAATGGAGACAAGGCAAAATATGAGTAATAATCTCCTTTTCACTCACCATGTACTACATGAGGTATGAATAAATAAATATCAATGAATTTTATAAATAATTATGGACATTCACGAATATAAATAGATATTTATTAAAAATAATTTTGTATATATATATATACTAAAATATAAATAATTTTTTAAACAAATATTTATATTAAAAATAAATTAGAATAATATACTTTTTATATTATATAATTAAAAATTTTAAGTAATTTTAAATTATGAGTACTAATAGGTATAAGGATATTACTACATGTTTCCTACTCTATTAATCAGACAATCTATATTGATATATAAAAGGAATATTTTTCTCTATAATCATTTTTAATCTCCACTTTTAATTAGATCATTATATCCTTTAATTATTTTTAAAAAAAAATTAATGTCTTTTTTACACGAATAGTAGCCTCGTCAAACTCTTTCAATAACTACTCACTTTATTATTTTTTTCTAGTTTTATTTAATTTTTTTAAATAATCTACATGATAAAAAAAATCTCTTAACACTTTTTTTTTTAATAACTATGCACTTAATTATTTTTATTTTATTTTAAA